AAGGATAAACTACCCCGGGGCAATCTATCAAATAGATTCGTCGCATCAAAGTTATATACTGCCAAACTTTCGTCTCGCCCGCAATCGGCGCCACTTTGCAAACTTTTTTACTGCGCAGTGTATTAATCACTGACGATTTACCAACATTCGGGTAACCAATAAAACCTACTGAAATCTGTTTCTTGTCAATATGTAATTTACCCAACTGCCGAAGCAGATTGATCAGTGATCCCTTGCCAAAAGGATGCGTTAAACTAGCGTGGAACGCAATAGTGGGATATTCTTTATTTAACAACGCTAACCATCTCTGTGTGATCCAGGTCGGAACTAAATCGACTTTGTTCAATATGAAAATTAAATGTTTGTGTGGTTTTTCTGTTTTTAGGTATTTTTCTAAGTGAGCAGAGCGCGTACCGAGAGGGTCTCTTGCATCTAACACTTGTAGAAGCACATCAGAACTGTCTACTACCTTATATAACTCGTTCCAGATACGTCGTGATTGTCCGGCCGCCATTACCCAATCGCGAGGGAGGTCTTTCACTCCCTGATTATCTCTAACTATATTTGTATCTTTTTCATCAGAGTATCCTTCTTGTTTTTGGTTGACAAGCTGTGATAACTCTTCCATTCCTGATACACTGATGTTCGGACGTTTCCGGCTCTTTTTCGGTCCAAAAACACTCTCAAAACTTTCAGTGTCCAAGAGATGTACGCGTGCGTTCTTTGCTTTTTCATTTAAGAGAGTAACTGGTAAAGTTGTGGGTTTCATGACTAGTTGAAAAGGGTTTTTCATTGCTGAGCCAAGTTCAGTTTGGAATTTTTGTAGAGCATTTTGTGAGATGACGCGAGAATTACCAAACCATTTTTGATTGGGTTCAACACGGGCAATAGTACCGGACTTGTTCCATCCTTGGAAAGGCGCCGGCGTGAGAATTTTACCGGTTTTGTCTCTTTTAGCTTTGAAATTTCTGTACATTTGAATCCTTTTTATTGTGCCCTTGGTTCTTGGGTTTGCAACCCCTTTTAAGCCAGCAGTAGGCCGCTCGGGGTTCATTGAGTGCCCCGAGCGGTTGAAACCCTGCTTTCGGGGCGCTTTTGATTGAGAACTCACTTTTGGCATTTTGTCTATAAAATAAAGCAAGTTATTACGTTAAAGAATGTATAATTTAATAGAAGAATGTGACTAATTCAAGCAAAATGTATTTGGTTTTGATTCACTTCATTATTTAACTTACCAGTGATTTAATTCACTCGGATAAACAAAAAAATAAACACTACCCAAAAACACGTGCGACTACGTTGCGAAGATTCTTACAGGTTATGTTCATTCAAACTTCAAACAGCCCCCTGTCACTTAAATGGGAGAAAGATGCAAGAGTTTGCGTGTGTGTCGCGTAATTTTAGTACCTCTGAGTGGCGCTGGTAGTTTAGTTGCACGGTAGCTGTTTACCGTTTGTGTTGTTATCATATGGCTAAAATACGCAACTACATTGCAACCGTTGCAACTAGACTTCTCTCTAAATATACGTTCTCTGCAAATAGCGACAACCTTGAGTTGTTTTCTGCAACACGGAGTTTAAGGGGGCTGGTTCTAACTCTTGTTCCCTTCTTTGTTTTAACAATCGCTTTCGAGTTCCGATCGCAGTCATGAGCTAAATTTGAATGCGAATTTGATTCGCTTCGTCGGTCGAATTCCGATATAAAATAAAGTAAATAATGACACCCGTTGTCGCACTTTTCCTTAACAATGTAATTTATTTATTTCGCAGATAATTATCATCGTCAGCCCTTCTCGAAGTGTTGTAACGCATAAAATACTGGTAAGGTATCATTGCTTGCTTCTTTTATACACTCGTGTTCGTAATACATACATCTTTTTAATCATTTCGCACGAATGGGGCGGCGTACAAACTATAGCGAGGCATCTAGAGATGTAGAGTTAAATTCTACGTCGGGTTGTACTTATCTGTGGCAGGAATTCGACCTGCAACCCACGAAAATTTGCAAATTTGCGTTCCCGGCGGAAAATAATATGAATTAATGAATATTTAGACGATTTGTATTAACTAAAATTATATAGGTATTTAATTTCAAGAGTAAATTACTAAAGGAGTAAAATTTGAATGTTTTTATGCTTTTGTGTAGTTCTTGAAGAGATTTGATGCGATGTTAAAGAAAAGATGTAATTTTATGACGAATGCTTTGATTGACTATTTATGCAGTATTTATTGCTAAATTGATGAATATTTACATTTAAATTTCAAAATTTAGTTCATTTATTTTGAATTAATACATTCTAGCAACATCTACATTTAAAGCTTTGAGTTATGTGTAAAAATCTCTATTTGTTTAGACAGGGTGGTGCATGCGCAGTTCCGTGTACGTGTAATACACGGACACTGCTATTTAAATGCGTGACCATACACTGACCCATAGCAAATCATTCACTGACTCATATGCACGCCACACTTTTTGATACACTTTGTATTTTCTTGCGGTACTCAAAAGTCACCGCAGATGGCGCAATAATGCATGTTTTCGCTAAAAATATTCCTGCGAGTGAAAGTCGGCGTGCACAGTTGTGAGGCCGGCACGCAGCTCTAACTTCGTGCGATAAGTACTAATCTTAAATGGATATTCGTGTTTCGTGTTGTAAATTCGTAATACCGCGTTATATTTGCTGTATTGTGTGATTGTAAATAATATTTTAGAGTTGTGCGAACCATTTTTGTCTTCAGCAGAACACGACGGGCGGCTATTCTACCTGGTAAATATTATTATTTAAATAATTATGGCAAATAAGACAATTTTTAAGGCCAAGTTTGGCTTCCTCCGGAACTCGGATTCATTTCAACACTGTCCTAAATTGTGTAACTAAAGTTTTGTTTCTTGTTTATTTCAGTATCTACTCGCATTTGATTTACGGCGTTTGATACACTGGTGAGTGAAATTTATCATCGTTCATGCGGCTACACTATTTTATTTTAGATCATTTTATTTTGGTCAAATTTTTCTCTTGAACTAATAGTTTTCCCGCAATTTGATAAAATGTAAGCACATTTTCAACAGAAAAATTAAATTTGGAAATTTAAAGTTTTTATTTTATATCTTCCTGTAAGAAGTGCTCATGAGCATTTTATTTGAGTAATATTTTACTTTAGGACCTATAGTTTTCCCATAATTTGACTAAATGTGAACTTACATTTTTCACAAAAAATTAATTTTGTAAATTTAAAGTTTTTATTTGAAGTTAAGTATAAAGGTTTCTGGAGCATTTTATTTTACAAGATTTTACTCTTGACTCATAGTTTTCCCGCAATTTTATCAAATGTGAACTTACATTTTCCACAGAAAGGCCGATCGCAGGTATAACGAGTATATATTCAACTGACTTCCTGTCCCCATCCTCGAGCTGCTGCCAGTCATTCCGCGTGAAATCCACACGAGCGGAGGCAGGCATAGCGTTCGAGTGAGTGACCGATCTTCCGTCTCTTCCCCACTCTAGCGGCATACAAAACGAATGGAGATTTTCTCGTGCGGTTTAGTTTTCGTTGAATGTTTAACAGTGAAACAAAATGTGAAGTGCAAGTGAAGTGTTACAACAATTGCAACAAAAAAAGGTGAATAAAATAGCTTACTTACAACAATTAACATTCTTGAATAAACTTGTAAAAGTAATGAAAGATGGAAAAAAAAGACACGTGTAAACAAACGAAATTTAGAGGTTATGTTATGATAATAAAAATGAATTGTGGTAGTTCTACTATATAAAAAAAATGGTTGTTTGTAAAGTAGGTTTACGATCGAGATGTTTACGTGATAACGTCTTATTGGTGATATAAGTTTTGTTTGTTGCAATTGTTGTAACACTTCACTTCGCACTTCACATTTTGTTTTACCGCTGTATCGGCCGATAAAAGTTTGTAGTGTGCGGGAGCCTAAGGTTATAACGAGAGGGGGTATACCCGCGATCGGCCTGCGACACAGTTTCTGAACAGTCACCCGACTAAAACGATTTTTAACACGTTGAGGACGGCGCGGTTTTGGGTGTCTGTTGCATCGGGCGGCGTTTGAGCATTTTCTCAACTCTGTCTAATTAATTCAGCTGTGCGCCACTGGTGGTTATGCATTGCTGTATCAAAAGGCGATTGTTTTGCAGTTGCGTAGCCATTTATTTATTTTGTAATGAATGCCTTTATCTCTAGAGTCCGACCGAAACTATGTGCGAACTGAGATGGCAAGTGACGACCACGACTTAAGCCGCGAGTTAGCCCAACGACGCACGATAATCTGACGAACACTGAGTTTCGGTTATGCCGTGCCTTCAGCCACCCCGGCCGAAACCAAATTTGAAGCCAAAACTGAAATTTTGGTCGGTCACTATTTATTATAATATGTAATCTGAGTGACACATTTGATGACAAAGATGCAAGGCCTGATTGTATAGGGTGAAACGAGGATAAAGATATAACCGGCGAACCAGTGGCGCAGTAGTCAAAATGAATAAGTCTCTGTTTCAAAATGAGCCGTGTACTGATCGGTGGTAATAATGCCGTCCCATTGCGACCAGACGCGTGTGTACCACCGATGGTACACGCCGTCCTCAACGTGTTAAAGACGTTATCACGTCAATAAGTCGGATTTTCCTTCCTAACGCTATAACTTCAGAATGCACGAACCGATTTCCACGGTTTTGTGGCCCGCGGAAAGGTCTCGTCTAGAGGAGGTTTATAGCAAAGAAAATTGAGGAAAAATTTTAACAGAAAAGTGGGAAAGGGCACAAAACGATATGCACGACCGTTAGTTGTTAAAACACACACAGGAAACGATGAATATCCAGTTAATCGTTGGCGTTTAAAAAGTAGTTATAGCTGGTCGAACTATCAAAGTTTGGGTTAAAATCAAGAGATTGGGAGGGTCGGAAGAGGCGGTAGTATTAAAATTACATTGGCTCCACCGCTATCACGAATTATCGAAAGGCATGCAAGCGCTGAGAGTTGTCATTCGGCCAAATCAATAATTTGCGGACACGTATAACGCTTCGATCCAGTATTATCCTTGGATTCACTTTCATTAACTTACCGAATTTACTTATAGAAGTTCAACTCAATAACGCTTTATTTTTGTAATCGAAATGCATTCATTATTGTTGTCAAATAAAATAAAATTTTTCGTTTTCAAATATAATACAAAAAAACAACTCTTTTTTCAGCTTTTGTCCACCAAACAAAATATTACTTAAAACGAAGCCATCTGGTGGCGAAACGGAGTTCACCGGATTTGCTAGTGTTAAATAAAAACATAGTTGGACTCATACCCTAAATAATTATAATACGGAAAAAATAGATAAAGTTTCAACGTCTAGTACACCGATGGAGACTGAAGAAATCACCACGCTCAACATGATGGATCCCTACAGCGCACATTCCTTCAACATCCAGTACGCCGATGGAGGCCGAGGATGCTTTACGTCAACGTCTGCAATACCCACCACCGCCGAAAAGAAGCGTCCCTCAGGTGAAATTGAGGAGTACAGAAAACGTGTAGCAGCTATTAGAACCCCAGAACAGGCCGCGGCGTTTGCAAGAAAAGCCGCTGAAAGACAACGCAAAGCGTACCATCTACGTAGAGCTGCAAATTTAGCTCTCGCCAGCGGCACGGTGGATAATACTGAAAAAATAGATAAAGTTTCAACGTCTATACCCATATAATCGAGGATGTTTGCCGCCAACGTCTGCAATACCCACCCACTGCCGTAAAGAAGGCCCCAAGGAAATCGTGCACAGAAAACGCAGCAGCTTGGCTAGGAACCCCCAGAACAGGCCGCGGTTTCGTAGTGCTGAAAGACAACGCAAAGCGTACCATCTACGTAGAGCTGCAAATTTAGCTCTCGCCAGCGGCACGGTGGATAATACTGAAAAAATAGATAAAGTTTCAACGTCTAGTACACCGATGGAGACTGAAGAAATCACCAAGCCCAACATGATGGATCCCTGTGCGCACATTCCTTCAACATCCAGTACGCCGATGGAGACCGAGGATGCTTTGCCGTCAACGTCTGCAATACCCACCACTGCCGAAAAGAAGGCCCTGCGAAATCGTCAGTACAGAAAACGTGCAGCGCTATTGAACCCCAGAACAGGCCGCGGCGTTTGCAAGAAAGCCGCTGAAAGACGACGCAAAGCGTACCATCTATGCAGTAGAGCTGCAAATTTAGTCCTCGCCAGCGGCACGGTACTCAGCAGTGCATCAAGAACAACCTACCTGGTCTACAAAATGGTCTTCGTCAATACATCATCGATTCAAATCTACTTTCCTGGATAACGATTTTGGCCATACTTGTTCGGTTTTATGATAGATTATGGTTCAGAAATGACCTTAAAGCCATCACTGCTGTACAAAATGCAGATAATCTCAGATTGGTGTTGGGTGAAAATCGGCGTACACGCTCATAGGGATTTACATTGGTTTGCAGCCAATTGTAAACGTTCGCCGAATACAGGAAAGCTTCCGGAGTCTCTTGCGAAGATGAAATCCATTTCCACATGAGGTACCCAGGTCTACCGCCATTGATCCAATCAGTGAACGGCTGATCTCACCACGTCTGCCATTTTATGCAAGCACGTCGACTCCGTCATGATTTCCTCATATGGGATCATCATTGGGACGCGATCAACGTTCCAGTCGACGTGCAGGAAATGGTGAAAATGCTTACCCTGGCAACCGGATGAGGACGAAGTAATCAATGTCAACATCTGAATCTTGCGCACAAAACGAATTCTCCTTCTACGTTAGCGGATACACGTCTAAACGTACGATCAAGGAACGGTTGACGTACTTCAGAAGTCGAGAGCCTTATCGCTTATACGATATCGAAGTAGACGGTCGGTGAAGCTACAGCTTACAGTGCCATCAGAAGAAAATCCTGCCGGATGAACCTGGTCCCCGCATCGAAGCAATTTCGGCTGATGAATGTACACCTGAATCGGAAATGTTTGCTGCTAGACAGCACACACTATTGTGGAACGAAGAGGATTGTCTTGACATCGCACCGGGACATCGGCGAACGCCTTTCAACATCATTTACGACCGTCATGCTGAAGAATTATCATTTCCGGCAATATACTTCGGAGAACCACGTCGTTTCAACATGGGAGTTTCGGTGACACCTTATATGATGGCGACCAGTGAAATAAGACGAAGTGACAGACGCGGCGCCACGCCTCAAAAAATCTTGTACGTTGCTATGAAGATCTTACGTCAACGCATGGTGGATGGAATTTACAGCACGTTCCGGAAAGTGCCGGTTACAGAAAACGTAACTCGACGAATGTTAGAAGACTCAGAATTTCTTAAAGAATTTGTTATACAAAACCTTGCCTTTATGAAATCAGTGCCAATCTCCGTCCAGTACTGGGCCTCTTGCAAATGGGATCTCTTTGCTATGCTCCGTCAACTTGGGAAGCCGACCATCTTTCTCACTCTAAGTGCAAATGAAGTACGCTGGTTGACATTACTGAACTTACTCCTCAAATTGAGTAACAAATATCCTGGCAAAGTTGCTGAAGATCTAAACACATCAGAGCGGTGCAGCTTAGTGAGTGACGATCCAGTTACGTGCTGCATATATTTTCACAAACTTGTTGGTACATTGATGAACATGTTGAAAGCGAAGTCGAATTATAATCCGTTCGGCCAATACTTTGTTAAGGATTATTTTCTTCGCATTGAGTTCCAGCATCGCGGAAGTCCCCACGCTCATATTTTACTGTGGTTGAACAACGACCCCCTCGAAACCGTTTCAGAAAATATGCCCAACACCATCGAACTTGTGGAGAAACTAAGTTCAGTTGCAAAAGAAGATGTGCCTAACGATACCATCTACTCCAACCAAATACATAAGCACACTTTCACCTGCACGAAACGAGGCGAAACGACTTGCAGATTTGGAATCCCGTACTGGCCAATGCTGACTACCCGTGTATTGGTACCAATGCCAAAAACTGATGGACGCCGCGTTGCATTCCAGAAAAAGGGTAAAGAGCTACGAACTTCCCTTAGCGACCGTACATATGCTAGCATGGACGACTTTCTGAGGATCATAGTTTGACGTTCGATGCATACCTCGACGTAGTGCGTTCAACTCTGCGCAGGCCAACATTGTTGTTCAAACGCAACTTCGACCAACTGATGACGAACACATTCAACCCTTACCTTGCTGGTGAAATTAATTCCAACATTGACATCCAGTTTGTCTTAGATGATTATAGCTGCGCACAGTACGTCGTGGAATACGTTAACAAATCGGCTCGCGGAATGGGTAACTTGAATCGAGAGCTGGCGAAAATGATGCAAGAGCATCCTGAACGGGACTACACGGGCCAATTGAAGGCTTTGAGTATTAAACTTCTAAATGCAGTTGAAATGTCGGCACAAGAAGCAGCGTGGTATTTATTACGACAACCGATGAGCGAAACAAGCCGTCAAGTCGTGTACATACCAACAGTATGGCCATCGGAGAGACAACGTTGCCGCAAACGTCGTGTACAAATGAATCGCGAAGGAATTGATGCTGACAGTACAGACGTATGGACCAAAAATATCATTCAGCGATATGAAGAACGACCTCCTTCCTTGGAACCTGTATATTTGGCCGAGTTTGCTTCGTGGTATGCTAAATGTCAAGATTTCATCGACAATGAAGACGACGTGGACGTGCATGAGTATGAAAATTTGGAACCAGAGACCGAAAAAAAAACGACGTCAAGACAATATCGCAGACGACAGATGGGACGGATCATACGACACAGGCATTACGAAGTAGATGAAATTGTCAACTATCAACGTGAGATGGTGCTGCTGTATCTGCCCTTCCGCAATGAATTATCTGAAATTGTTGATTGCAATAAATTTCTACAATTATACAACGACAACAAGGATGTCATCATGGAACGCCGTCAGATATACGAGAAAAATCTTAACATCGACAGTGTGCTACAGGAGCTTGAAGCAATGATGATTCTGCAAAATTCTAACAGCACAGAACCAGCGGAAACTGAGGCAAGGAGAGTGTCTGTCGAACAGTCTTCATAAGGTGCCGAAAATAACGATGACGTGAATCAAATCGTTCCACGAGAAGGATTTTCGGTTGTAAGAAACGTAGCAATGTGATGCCAAAACAGAGTACTGTGAGTGAACTACAACCTGAACAACGTGAGCTGATTCTTAAGGTTATACATCGTTTTGCATTGCTGCAGGTACGAGTCGTTGGTAATTCAAGTATTCTTCACGGGACCGGCGGGCTTGCGGGAAAACTTATACATTGAAAGCAGTGGAGACCGGCCACTTACACAAATGCAGCTCCTTAACAATGCCTGCTTGAGAAGCGTACCAGAAGTACGGAAGTAACAGCAGTTCTTGGTGGAACAACAGTTGCTCAGCGTTCCGTTTACAACATCTCGAGTCGCAAAGATCTATCTTCTGGAAACGTTGCAAGCATACAGGGAACATGTCCGTTAGCGTAGGGAAGCCCGTTTTCATCGACGAGATCCAGCATGATAGTGCGGCTATACTGCGTAAAGCAATTATCGACTGCAACAGATCACTTGTAATTTAGATCAACCATTTGGAGGCATTCATGTGATCTTATGATAGCGGTAGCAGTGACAGGGCACCCTACAAAGGTAGCGGTAGAAGTGACTTTTATTCAGGGCACCGTTCGAAGGTAGCGGTAAAAGTGACTCGTGTTCAGGGCACCGTTCAAAGGTTGCGGTAGAAGTGACTCGTGTTCAGGGCACCGTTCGAAGGTAGCGGTAAAAGTGACTCGTGTTCAGAGCACCATTCCGGAAGATTTGCGGTAGAACTGACTCGTGTTCAGGGCACCGCCGTTCGAAGGTAGCGGTAGAAATGATTCGTGTTCACGCGGTAGAAGTGACTCGTGTTCAGGGCACCGTTCGAAGGTAGCGGTAGAAGTGACTCGTGTTCAGGGCACCGTTCGAAGGTAGCGGTAGAAGTGACTCGTGTTCAGGGCACCGTTCGAAGGTAGCGGTAAAAGTGACTCGTGTTCAGGGCACCGTTCGAAGGTAGCGGTAGAAGTGACTCGTGTTCAGGGCACCGTACGAAGGTAGCGGTAGAAGTGACTCGTGTTCAGGGCACCCTACGAAGGTAGCGGTAGAAGTGACTCGTATTCAGGGCACCGTTCGAAGGTAGCGGTAAAAGTGACTCGTGTTCAGGGCACCGTTCGAAGGTAGCGGTAGAAGTGACTCGTGTTCAGGGCACCGTATGAAGGTAGCGGTAAAGTGACTCGTGTTCAGGGCACCGTTCAAAGGTTGCGGTAGAAGTGACTCGTGTTCAGGGCACCGTTCGAAGGTAGCGGTAAAAGTGACTCGTGTTCAGGGCACCATTCGAAGGTTGCGGTAGAACTGACTCGTGTTC